CCCCAAAACCCCAAAACCCCTAAATACAAAAATTTAGCTAATTAAAAAATTAAAGTTTAATTAAAATTGAAATATATTTTATTTATCTTATAATTTAAATGTCATTTCTCTTGCTGAATTATAGAAGGACTTTAGTTTTTGGTGTAACTAGAAATCTAAGTCAATGCAATCCTTGGAATCTTAAAACAATTTGGCAAACAAGAAAATTTAGTTCAAATTATCCTTTGAAATTAGGTGAAATCAAGAACTAACAACTATTCTAATAAATAAGTTAATGATACTACTCCTAGTCCATTGATCAATCTACTTTATTATTAGAAAAACAGATTCTAGAATAGTTTGAACTAATTAAGTCTTAGTCAGCATTACATTATTCAAACAGCAACTTTGATGAATTGGAAGAGCAAATTTTCTCATTAGAGAGGATACTAGGCTTCGATGAAGCTAATATTGTAGGTTACGATTAATTAGTGGTAAAAAATTAGTCAACTTTTATGCTTCATAAACTTAATGATCTAAATGATATCAGCTTAAAGGAAAAAGAAAGAATGAGAGAATTAATATTAATGGCTCGCAATATTTTATCAGACTATAAGAAAAAAGAAACCTATTTGCTAGTTTCAAGTATTATAAAAGCAGAGTAATCTCTTCTAGCGTACTATGCAGACAATAAAAACGAGTATTTTGAGATTTTAAAGAAGATTGAAGGTAAAGTGATATAAAATAAAGAGGATCAGAGTACATAAAATTAATAATAATAAACGCAAGATTAAAATATAAAACTACCTTAAAAAAGAATCAATGAATTTTTAGATAAAGATTTAAAAAATTTAGATCCAAGAGATTTTCACCGTTTTCCTGAAATTTTTTCAAACGATGGCCCAGGAAAGACATATGAATAGAAAAGTGCAGCCAAAAACTATAAAGGGGTTACAAGTCTCTCAGAGTAGAATTTAAATAAAATTTTTGAAGAATATGAATTCAAAGAATATCAAAAAGAGGTTTGCAAAAAGATAAAAATAATTCTGGATCAACTCATCAATTAGGAAGAAAGAGGAATAGTGCAGAAATCATAAAATAAGAAATTATTTACATGCTACAATGTTCTTAAAGTAGGAACAAATCAAGTGCAGACTAGAATAATTAGCAATACCTCTTAAAAGCTAAAGCAATTAAGTTCATCATCATTAGATAATAAATCCAATCATAAGATGATGGAAGTATAATTAGCATATGCAACATTGATTGATACAAAGAAATTTAAAATTTACAAGTTCATCAATGAAATAATTGAAGGCAGTCCTTCTCTAAAAATATATTTCAGTAATAATAAGAATGAATTATTACAGTACATAAGAGAAATTAATTCTGACATTAATTTTGATAGCTTTGATATTGAAAACGATATAAAAATGTAAATGATAAAGCACAATTTATTAACTGAGATAATAGGATAATCAGGGGATGGTTTTAAATTTAATCTAATAGTTGCTATTGGTGGACTAATAGGATTTCTATGTTTGATTAAGAAGATTGACAAGGATCATAATGCTAGAGAAAGAGAAAAATAAAGATTACTTGAAATTGAAAGATAAAAAGAAGAAGAACTAAAGAAAAAGTAAAGTTAGAGTTGGTTTGGGGGATTTTTCAAATGAATTTAGTTCATTAATAAT